GTGAAGAGGTGGATGGTGGTGGTGGTGAAGAGGAGGAGGATGGTGGTGGTGGTGAAGAGGAGGGTGGTGGTGAAGAGAAGGAGGAGGATGGTGGTGGTGGTGAAGAGAAGGAGGTGGATGGTGGTGGTGGTGAAGAGAAGGAGGTGGATGATGGTGGTGGTGAAGAGAAGGAGGAGGATGGTGGTGGTGGTGAAGAGAAGGAGGGGGAGGATAATGACATTTGCAGTATGGAGTAGATGTAACTCAGAAATAACAGCCAGTGGTGCTGCAGAACATCTTTTACTACAACCAAATGACTGATATACAAGAGTGTAATCATACAACAATACACGCATGAAATCAGTGGACTGTCATACAAAAGTACAAGCATGAAATCAGTGGACTCTCATACAACAGTACAAGCATGAGATCTGTGGACTGTCATACAACAATACATGTATGAAATCAGTGGACTCTCATACAACAATACATGTATGAAATCAGTGGACTCTCATACAACAATACATGTATGAAATCAGTGGACTCTCATACAACAATACATGTATGAAATCAGTGGACACTCATACAACAATACATGTATGAAATCAGTGGACTCTCATACAACAATACATGTATGAAATCAGTGGACTGTCATACAAAAGTACAAGCATGAAATCAGTGGACTCTCATACAACAGTACAAGCATGAGATCTGTGGACTGTCATACAACAATACATGTATGAAATCAGTGGACTCTCATACAACAATACATGTATGAAATCAGTGGACTCTCATACAACAATACATGTATGAAATCAGTGGACTCTCATACAACAATACATGTATGAAATCAGTGGACTGTCATACAACAATACATGTATGAAATCAGTGGACTCTCATACAACAGTACAAGCATGAAATCAGTGGACTGTCATACAACAATACATGTATGAAATCAGTGGACTCTCATACAACAATACATGTATGAAATCAGTGGACTCTCATACAACAATACATGTATGAAATCAGTGGACTCTCATACAACAATACATGTATGAAATCAGTGGACTCTCATACAACAATACATGTATGAAATCAGTGGACTGTCATACAACAATACATGTATGAAATCAGTGGACTCTCATACAACAGTAATGGCATCCGTCAGTCCCGGGGGACTATGGAGATGTGCCGCTGGCTTTGGGAACAGCATCTGCTGTGACTGTATAGTCCGATGCGGGAATGGCAGTCTTTGCCATACAGGATACACACAAAAGCAGATACTCCCTCGTTGTGAGGCAGTTTTACTCTCCGGTGTCTCCTCTCCACAGCTCGTTGTGTTCGGTTTCTTTCAAAATGTGACAGTCCGTCTTTCACTTTCTGTCTCCATAGTAGTCGATCTGCAGCTGATTTTTCCCATGTCTCTGTGCCTATGTTGGTATCTATTAGGTCACGTTTGCATACATCTTTATAGCGCAGCTTTGGCCTTCCTGTAGGTCTATTCCCAGTTACCAATTCACCATATAGAAGATCTTTTGGAATACGACCATCCTCCATGCGGGAGACATGTCCCAGCCAGCGCAGACGTCTTTGCTTCAGTATACAATACATTGATGGTATTTTTGCTCTTGTCAGCACACATTCGTTGGAGACAAGGTCTCGCCATGATATACCAAGGATGCGTCTCAGACAGCGCATATGGAAGGTATTCAGTCTTTTTTCCTGTGGAGCATAGAGAGTCCAGGATTCGCAGCCGTAAAGTAATGTGCTCAGGACACAAGACTCATAAACCTTCATTTTTGTATTATCAGTTAGCTGTTAATGACTGCAGTTTTCCTTACATCGCGCATATGCTGCAGATCGTCCAGAGTACCAGGTGTCATGGTCCTCACGTTCCATGTGCCCAGCTTTAGAGCTGGGAATCTGATGTTTTGGCTTCTTTGTGTAGGTACAAGGATTACAATCCGTATGTCGGGTTATCCCCTAAGCCCTGTGCACCCAACAAGGCAAACGGATCGTGGCGGGACAACACCTTACTGACTGGGGGCTGCCCAGCTGAGGCGGGCGGTAGCTGTCCAATGAGACTACGATGGTCTCTCCCACCGTCGGAAACAACCCCTGGCGCCTAGCTCTACGCCAATTGAGCAAAGGCTTATAACCGGTAACTGCTGTTTCCCGTGTTGTGTCGAAACTGTTAAGCATCGCTGGAGTGACCTCTCCAGGGCACAGGCCAGGGCGTTTTGATTTGGAGTACAGACTGTTGCACAGGCAGCAAGTACCCCCTCTCTACGTCGCCGGTGATACCAAGGGAAAGGCAAAAACCAGTACAACTTGGCACCGAGGACGTTGCAGGAATTGCCGGAATAGCGCTGTATACAATGCTAAACCGCCTTAGGGATTCCAGCTCCGGATTTTTCCTCAGGGTTTACTCCCGAAGCGCTTTCCTAAACATGGGTATGGCCACAAGGCAGTGGAGGTGTGTAGTCAGAGTTTTCCTTCTCCTAGATGAGCTGCACTCCCGTGCTGGCGAGCCTCATCTGCCCGTGGTTTGGAATCAAGAGTTTTCCTTCTCCTAGATGAGCTGCACTCCCGTACTGACGAGCCTCATCTACCCGAAGCGTCTGGTTAAAGCGCCAGAGACCCGCTTTCGCCCCTTCTCCTGTTAGTTTAAACATCTCCGCCACGAGAAGGCCAGGAGTTGGACAACAGTACAAGCATGAGATCAGTGGACTGTCATAAAACCGTACATGTATGAAATCAGTGGACTGTCATACAACAGTACAGTCGATCATGAAACAGATGACTGTCAGACAATAGTTCGATCATGAAAAATATTACTGTTATAGAATAATACAATCATGAAATCAGTTAACTATGTCATACAGCACGATATGCTTTTGTGTAGACAGTAGGTTTTTTTCCCCCCCGTAACCCACGCAGGGATGTGTGTAGCAAGCTAAAGTTTTAAACATTTTTGTTCATCCAAAGATGCAAATATGTTGTCCCCATTTAACAACATGGCTGCAATATGTGCACATTTTGGCTGAAACATCCGACTTCTGCAGATGTTTTTTTGCATGTGTTAGCCTTCCCGGTTAGTTTCATGGGAAACTGCAGACTCATTATTGTGCGTGACAACTTTGTTTCCTACTTCACAGGTGGTGCCCCCTAGCAGGTGGATCTAGAGCTGCCAGTTAATTCTGGTCAGCCCCAAAACCCATGTCCATTTTAGACAGGAAAAAAAAGTTTAACACGTCCAGCCTGTTGCCAGCAGCATTCAGTTATATTTGTGGCCTCTTTTATTTGTTCTAAATATATTGGCTTAGACTGGGGTGTATGTGTGCTATGCTGATGGCCTCGTGTCCTTAACCGGATAATATCTTAAAAGAGGACGGTACAGAACATGAGCTTTCCCTGCCTTCGAAGGAAATTTCAGAAATCCAGAGCCAATACATATTACTGTGAAACTGAGCTCACACGAGGAATCATTCTGTCCTGTTCATGACTTTCGCCTCATGGAAGTGATTCTTTAAAAGAATCATGACATAACAGGAGATTGTACAGAGGACAAGATGTGAGGCATCAGAGAAGACAAGACACGACACACGAAAAGGTATGAAGCGTGTCGTGGTACAAAAGGCACCAAGAGATCCCACACACAATACTAATAGCCTAATTAACTAACCAACCTAAAACACTTCCTTGGTTTTTTGACAGTCTTTGCCAGCCTCGGCGTCTGTTTCTAGAGGAGACTTGGAGAAGTCCATTAGGCATCTTTTGAAGCGTTCACTCCCCAGACGAAGGTTAACAATCACTACAACTAACAAAGCAGCGACAACGACAACCACGGCTGCAACAGTGGATACAATAATAATGTTCACTGTTTTATCTGTGTCCAGAGACGGAGATGACACCTCATTGTCCTTGCCACATGCCAAGGTGACTTCCGACAACCTCAAACCTCTAACCCCTAGAGGCTCGGCGCATCTCATCTCTTGAATGTAGCTGTATTTGTCCAGCTTTCCCACAAACAAAATGCCCGACTGGATCTTCTGCAGCAAGGGCTGCATACCACAACCACAGTAAATTGGGTTGTCCCGGATATCGACGAGAACTCCATCCGCCATGGCCCAAGAGCTAATGTTCTCTACAGAGAGGTTAGAAATGAGATTGTGTCTCACGTCTAACGTCAAGAAACGTCCATCTACCCCTCTAGGACGTGTCCCAATTTCAACTTCGGTCAGATAGTTCCACGACAAGTCTAAGAGCTCTAGTTTGGGGAAATATTTTCTGAAGTCTTGTAGCTCTTCTGGGAGTTGTCTGATTCCCGAGAACGAGTAATTCATGACCTTGAGTTCCGGATATGTTGCGCCCAGCACCATCAACGCAAAATGGTGAATAGGCAGAACGTGGGGAATACTTTCATCCAGCAGTTTCAACTTGTTAAAGTGGCACTGCAGTTTTAAAGACTGCAGACTTCGTAGAAGATTCAAAAACTCGTCCTCACTGGATTTATTTTCAGAAGAAGTGTACATCGTCTGGTTCGAGATGTTGAATGTCTGATTGGAGCCATAAGTGTTATCTTGCACTCTTGTATCAGACGGGAGATCTGGCGCCAGGGTCCTACCGTCTGATGGCGTGGTGAACAAGTAGGACACATTACTGGTGACCATGTACTCTATGGTACTGTCTTGTCCACAATCGTAGTCTGATGTCAGGCTGGCCAAGCCTTCTGGGTTTATCATTTTGTAAAAATCTGTGTCATCACTTAACCAGGCCGAATTTCGGATCTCCAGAACTCTGAGAAAATCAGGCATGGTTAGCAGTTCAAGACTGCCAAAATCTGCATATTTTTGGGTCATCCCACAGTTGTACACGACTAACCCAACAAGTCCCTGGGCTTTCATTGGCCAAGGCAACGAGATCTCCCCACGATTGCTACATCTGATTTGCAGAAATATCGAGATGCCCCGAAACTGATGAAAGTGTTCTTGTAGTGTCCGGAACGACAGTGTATCACCCTTGTTCCCGTCTACGCTGCACTGTATGTGGATCACGTGATCACTGCCTGTGACGTTTTCAACATAAAGTCCCAAAATGTCGGAATCAAATTTTGCCGCGCACATAAGCTTCAACTCAAGCGGCACGGGGGCAATGTTGCTTTCTACATCAGCAGTGGCACTGATAACTACAACACAAATTAAGATTCGGATAAGCATTTTGTAAACTTTCAGTTCCTGTTAAGCTGGAACAGATGCACGAATTGTTTCCCGATGGGGTCAAGCAAGACGGGTGTACAATCAAACTGTTACTGTACCATTGGAATTAGAACTCTTCGCTGGCTGCTGAAGCTGGGCCCTACCACTTATGGCTTCCTATGAGCCCTGTGTGGTATATTTTTGTGGCCTTGATTCTTTCCTCCCATATTTATGCACATACGTTGGTATCATTGTTGACCAGACTTGCCTCCCAATGGTTTCTCACTTGTGTCTAATGAAAGAAGAAAACACAGAAGGTGACGCTGAAAAGTTGAAGTCTCATTCTTGCTTAAGCATGAAGTCAATAGTACACGAAAACCGTCTTCTGACTAGGACAGACACACTATGAGGATAATGTATGAGATGATAGCAGAAACATCAAGAGGATAATGTATGAGATGATAGTAAAACCACACGAGGATAATGTATGAGATGATAGTAAAACCACACGAGGATAATGTATGAGATGATAGCAGAAACACAATGAGCATAATGTATGAGATGACAGAAGAAACACCATGAGGATAATGTATGAGATGATAGCAGAAACAGCATGAGGATAATGTATGAGATGATAGCAGAAACAGCATGAGGATAATGTTTGAGATAATTGAAGAAACACCACGGTGATAATGTATGAGATAACGGCAAAACAGCGTAAAATTTAAAGAAGTTTGAACAACGGACCTACATCATGGCACACGCATGGGCGCCCGCAAGGGGGGGGGGGCAACCCCCCCCCCCCCCACCTGGATTGATTGAAAATAGTCATTCTTTCCCTGCCGTCTGAAGCAAGTGCCGCGTCACGTAAGCTCCGCGCGTCGTATTGTATTTACCTAAGCAAATACTCCTGTAACCTTTATATAAATAAACTTGTGAATCGAGCCGTGAGTATTGCTAGACCTTACCATTCATTAACTATATTACACGCTCTCCTTAATGTCAACCGCAAAAGCGAAAATTGGCCGACGGACGTGGGATCTGATATCAAAATCCTAGTCAATTCCATCTTCCACGCACGTCGCCGCCAAAAATGTATTAGAAAAATATAAATCATCTATTTTAATTTCATATGATTTTGAAAGCGACATGTCAGGAAGTGGAAAACGTTGTTTCAGGGAATCTTGGCTAACACAGTATACTCCATGGTTATCATATTCACCTAGGTTGAAAGGTGCTTTTTGCATTTTCTGTGTTTTATTTCCGCAGCCAGTTCAAAGAGGAATTCAAGGTGCCTTTATTACTACTACTTATACAAAGTACAAAGATTTAAATGAATGTGCCAGAAACCATACCAGCTCAGCATGGTATCGTGGGTCTTAACAAGATGCTGAACACTTCGCGTCAATCATTAGAGATCCAAAAAAGGATATTATTTGTCAGATAATTCTGTAAAACGAACTACTGAAGAAAACAGAAAGAAACTGTTTCCTATTATTTCAACAATCTTATTTTGAGGAACAAATGATTTGGCAATTCGTGGGAAAGATAGTACTAAAAGAAATGTCGAACAACTTTATGCGTGTCGAATTGAGGGAGGAGACAGTATTTTAAAAAACCATTGTTATACAGCTGCTGGAAATGCATGTTACACATCACACCGAACGCAGAATGGTTTGATCAATTTGTCTGAACAAGCTCTGCGAGAAGATATTGTAAAAGCTGCTAACAATGCTCTTGGATTCTTGATCATAGCCGATGAAAAAGCAGATATCTTAGGAACAGAACAGTTATCACTGGGAGTCCGGTTTGTAGATACATCTAGTGAGAAGGCTATGATTCGTGAGGAATTCCTTGGATTTGCTCCCCTGAAAGGTATGGACGCCGCCACGATATCTGAATGTACTATTCAACATTTTAAAACATGTGGTCTTCATCTGCTGGGTCAAGGTTATGATGGGTGCTCGACAATGGCCGGAAAAGAAAATGGTGTTCAGGCAAAAATTCGAAGTATTTACCCCAAGGCTGCCTTTGTTCACTGTGCCTCGCATAGACTGAATCTCGTAGTAAATGATCTTAATAATGTTGCAGTGATACGAAATACTATGGGTACTATCAAAGCAATTATTACATTTTTTTCGTGAAAGCCCAAAAAGGAGGTCCTCTGTCCCAAATATTCCTCTTCTGTGTGAGACAAGATGGACAAGCAAGTATAAAAGTATTCGGATTTTTTCTAGTGAATTTGAAGATATTTATTGTCAACTGGAAGAATTTTCATTGCATGCAAGTGGAAATACACGACAGGCTGCACATCAGTTATATTGTTCATCAAAGTCAAGCACGTTTTTTTGTGTGTCTTAATATTATTTCGCAGTACTCTGCCATACTGGAACCAGTTACTCAGGCTCTTCAAGCTGTTTAAGTTGATCTTCCAGATGTCCAACTGCAAGTTCAAAACCTGCTCAGTGTAGTAAAACTTCACCGAGGTGATTCAGATAACTATTTTAGGGATATTTCTGAGAAAATAGTACAACTCGCACAGAAAGTGGATATTGAACTGATTATCCCAAGACAGTGTGGAAGACAAAAGCATCGAAATAATCCAGGAACCATAAGTGTTGAAGAGTACTTCAGACAAACAGTTTACATTCCATACTTAGAGTCCCTAATTAACTCAATAGAGAGTCGATTTTGTGAAGCCAACAGTGCACAATTTAACTTAGCGTTGCTACATCCTTCGAAATTGTGCAAACTGAATCGTCAACAGTTTAAGGATATAATGTCTACTGTTAATCAGGTAGACCACATTGATAATTTTGAAACTGAAGCCTTGGGTTGGTTTGATTTTTGGAAAACGCGAGAATACAAAAGTAGCCAAGATTTCATCGACTAGTTAACTTTTACAAAGTTGTATCCGAGTGTCAGGTATGCCTTACTAGTTTTGCTAACATTGTCAGCAACAAGATGTACGGTGGAACGATCGTTCAGCACATTACGTCGTGTAAAAACATTGCTTAGATCTACAATGTCAGATGAACGTCTGTCTGGATTGTGCATGTTAAGCATACACAGAGACAAAGTGAACTGCAACAAAAAAGACTATGGACAAAATGTAGATATGTTTGGTAGCGATAACAGATGACTCCAGTTCTTGTTTAAAAAATAAATTATATTTTAAATTTATGTTGTAATATTTTTTTGTTATATACATATATTGTGTTAATAAAAAATTTCCGTGTTGCTACAGTATGCACTTCATTACTACAGTGACCTGTCCGTTAGTTCACCATACAAATACGCTACAGTAAATTAAAACTACATTGAAACATTACTAAAAATATTTTGCCCCCCTCTAGAAAATATTCTGCGGGCGCCCATGGGCACACGGTTAGTAACCCATAAGTGCTCCATTCTTCTGCTAACTCAGTTCTGAGTCTCAGCACAGTGCACATACTCTGTAGCACCAGCGAGCGAGGATCCTGAAATACTTTGGGTAGATTTTTAACTCCACATTTTGCCCGGGCAGCGCCGTTAGGCTAATCTTTTCGATTTTCAACTGCCAAGGAATTTTTAACCAGCTCTACAATGCACACGGGCGTCCGATCTCACTACCCAGAGACGAGGGGGAATTACTAGAAGTCCAAGTCCACGTGAAAAAATCCCAGACGTTATCTATTTGCGCTTCCGCACTGTTCACTCGCTTCCAAAGGGCCCTCACAACATCTAGCTTGTCATACATCAATTCATCACCAAGTGGTGCAGAATCGGCCAGTCTATCTGCTTGCTCATTTCCAAACACCGGCATTACCTGGAGAAAATATCTAAAGGATGCTAACTACCCGGGACCTCTGAAGTGATGCTTGCCATTCTGCACGGAGGACGAATAAATGAATTAATAAATGAATGAAAAAAATGAATGAATGAACGAACGAAACTGAGATGGGACATCTAATGCAGACAAGTAGCAGACGGGCTGCCGTGTCGATCACTCGTTGATACCCACCGTGTTAACAGCGAAATTAGGGTGCTATACATGGATATACATACAGTGCAGACCGCTTAAGATGATCTCGGATGTAGGGAATTTCTGTTATGAAGAACACTTTATTTATCCCAGGCAAATTTTCTTGCTCGAACTCTTATTTGGATAAGAGGAATATTTTTTAAATAAGAAGAACAACTCCATGGTTGCTCGGTGTGTTCTCCTTATCAGGTCTGCAAAGTGGTTGTTTTGAGATCTAAATATATGCGAGCGACCTAGTTTCACATCCTTAGTTTGGCACATCTGTGTTCTGATAGTTGGCTGTTACATTTCCCCCATATCTAGATTGAAAGCATATAGTTACGTCTCCTAGCTATTGAGCTGACCGCATGGCACGTCACTGTATGCGGAAAGCTTTTCGACTTGCCCAGCGGAGTTTGTGATATGAACTGCAGATTCAGAAACTGGCCTGTTGCTATAGAGCTGGTGATGCCTTCCGCGACAAACTGCATGTACATTCTGTTGATCTGGGGAGGGGGTTATGAATTCCTTACTTGCACAGTTTGTGGCGACAGCGCTAGCCAGACGGTCCTAAATCCTCAGGCTGAAAAGAAAAACCCTCACTTCCCTTCCCAAATCCTCACACCACAATAACTTAGTGGCAAATATGACAGAAAAGACTTTACTTGTTGATGTTTTCATGTCATTGAAATTATTCTTATGAAAATTAACGAGTGTGTGTGTGTCTGTATATATATATATATATATATATATATATATATATATATATATATATATATATATATATATATATATATATATATATATATATATATATATAACCATAACTAACTTTGTTAGGCAGGTTTCTTTTATAAAAACAATCTTATTTTGAAAACAGGCAAAAATAAACAGGAAAGAATAATTTAGAAACATGTCCCTTTTATTGCATGACCTTGCTTCGGACGGAGACTTCCGGTCCTCTTAAAACGTCTGATTTATGTGAAAGTTAACGAATGTATATCCGTAGGCAATAAAT